TGATAGGTATTTGGGAAATCAAAGAGGAAGTAGTTAGCTTTGCTTAGGAATCTAGAGAAGAGGAAACAGGTCTTTGGAATGTAGGAATCAAGGGCAGAGTGGAGAGGAGCTTGGGGGAAGGCATGGCTTGCAGGCAGGCAGGCCAAGAAGACAGGAGCCTGGTTGTTGTGGGTGGTGGTGCACGCCTTTAATTTCAGCACTTGGTGAGAGGCAGGCGGATCTCTGTGAGTCTGAGGCCAGCCTGGTCTTCAGAGCGAGTTCTCTAGAAACAAAACAAATAATCAAAACAAACCAAAACAAACACCGAAGAGGAAGAAGCCTGGGAAAGGAGTGGATATAGATCTGTATTTCTCTCTCCCTTCCTTTGATCCTTTTTTTTTAAAAAAAAAACCAACACATTATTTAACTTTATTTCATGCACATTGGTATAAGGATGTCAGATTCTCTTGAACTGAATTTACAGACAGCTGTGAGCTGCCATGTGGGTGCTGGGAATTGAACCCAGGTCCTCTGGAAGAGCAGTCAGTGCTCTTAACCACTGAGTCATCTCACCAGCCCCCCTTTGATCCTTTGATGCTAATCCATACACTTTCCCTTTCCTAGGAGGACCTGGTTCCTCTTCAGAAATGTGAACTTCCATGTCTGATAGTTAAACAATGCTCACCTTGTTTAACTATCAGGCTGAGCCCCTGAGCTGCTCAGGGTCTACACCTATGAATGGCCTCATGCTGGGTGTTTTACCTCATAGGTCCTGAGCTAGCTCTCCCTTGCTGCATAACGATATCCTCACAAACACAGCAAGTTAATATATTTAGTACATCCTAATTTGTCAAAGAAATCTGGGATGGGATGGTCTGAGGAGAAGGCTCACTGGTTAAAAAGTTATGTTTTTGCTCTTGCAGAGGACCCAGGTTCAATACCCAGAACCCACACAATGGCTCATAAACATCTGTAACTCTAGTTCCAGGGGAGTTCAGTGCCCTCTTGTGACCTCCACAGGTACCAGGGCATGCACACAGTATATGTATGTACACAAAGGCAAAACATCCACGCACAATAAACAAACAAACAAACAAATAAATAAATAAAAGAGGAGGCGAAGGAAAGAAAAAAAATCTGGAATTGGTATTGTGCAAGCCAAGGTTGAAGTCCTATCTAAAGCTTCACTGGGGAAAGAGAGGTTTTTAAGTTCAGAGAAACACAGGCAGAACTCAGAACAAGCTTTTAGACTTCTGTTTATCTAACGCCCCCGCCGTCCCCCCACCCCTTCCCTTGGTTCCTTTGAGATAGGGTCTTTCTACACTGCTCTGGCGGTCCTGGAACTCACTGTGTAGACCAGCCTGGCTTCAGACTCACAGAGGCCCACCTGACTCCGCCTCCTGAGCGCTGCGCCATCACGCTCAGCTCCTCTTAGCCTTCTTTTTCTAAACCCTGCACCCTGGGCCTGTTTCCTGTCTGGTGTTCGCTGGAACTTTAACTACATTTGTTTTAAGACAGGGTCTCACTTCGCTGTCCTGGAGTTCACTGCGTAGGCAAGGATGGCCCTGAACTCCTGAATTTGCTTTGTCTTCCCAAGGGCTGGGATTCCTAGTGTTTGCCACACTGGCTCTAGCTGGTGTTCTTGTATCTTGCCCCAGGGCTTTCTTTACACGCGAGCAGCTCGTGTTTGTAAAGCCAGCAGGGATGGAGACAGCCAGAGCAAAATGATCTTTACAGTCTAATGAGGGACACAACGACCTTCGCTGTTTTCTTCTTCGTTAGCCAGTCCAGGCCCCTCCCACACAAGGGAGGGGACTATACAGAAGCCCGAAGAGACCAAAAGGATTAGAGTTGGTGTCCTCAAAGGTCTTCATTAGGTATTAGATGATGGGGAACTGGAATATTCCTTCCTGCAGTTGAAAGAATCCTCATTACATGGATGTACATGTCGTCCCCAGTGACGTAAGGTACAGGCCAACAAATATAAAAAGAAATGGCGCCGGGCTGTGGTGGCACATACCTTTAATCCCAGCACTCAGGAGGAAAAGGCAGGTGAATCTCTGAGAGTTCGAGGCCAGCCTGGTCTACGGCGCTAGTTCCAGGACTGACTCGATAGCTACTGGGAAACCCTGTCTCAAAAAACCAAAAAGAAAAAAGAAAGAAAGAAATGGCATGTTATGGCTGAAGGGACTTGGAGTGAAATTCCATTAACAACTATTTGAATCTCATAAATTTCTGATTTGATAGTTGTAATTAAAATAAAAACTCATAAAGCAAATTAACGGCTGCAGAGTGGGAACTGGGTAGGACAGCACCGTTATGAAGGTACTTCCGTTTTCAGAATCCTTCCTTTTGATTTGCGCATGAGCGATGGATACTAACGCCCTGCTGTCTTCGTTAGTACACTTTCACAAGCTTGGGATCGGAGAATGGGCTCTGCAGCCAGGCTGCCTGGGCCACATCAAGTTTAACTCCTTTTTTAAAAAAGTTATTTATGGCCGGGCAGTGGTGGTGCATGTCTTTGATCCCAACACTCCGGAGGCAGAAGCAGGTGGATCTCTGTGAGTTCGAGACCAGTCTGGTTTACAGAGTGAGTTCCAGGACAGGTTCCAAAACTACATGAAGAAACCGTGTCTCAAAAAAAAAAAAATAAAGTTATTTATATGTTTATAGTTTATTCAGTATATGTGTGTGCTTTAAAAACATTTATGAGCCAGGCAGTTGACCACACCCCTTTAATCCCAACACCGAGAAGGCAGATCTCTGTGAGTTCAAGGCCACCGTGGTCTACAGGCTGAGTTCCAGGACAGCCAGGGTCACACACAGAAATGCTGCCTTTAAAAAGGTATTAATTTCTTTAGTTTATCCAGTGTATGTTATGCTTTAAAAAATTTATGAAAGCATTTGGGCGGCAGAGGCAGGTGGTTCTCTGAGTTTGAGGCCAGCCTAGTCTACAAAGATAGTTTCAGGATAGCCAGGAGAAACCCTGTCTAAGGGGAAAAAAATTTATGAGCTGGGTGGTTGGTGGCACACACCTTTAATCCCAACACTAGGGTGGCAGAGGCAGGTAGATATGTGTGAGTTGTTCACAGACTGAGTTACGAGTTCCAGCCACTTAGAGAAAGCCACTCTTGAAAAGCAAACAAAACAAAAAAGAAAGAACGAAAGAAAGAACAAAAGAAAGAACGAAAGAAAGAAAAATAAAACAACAAACAACATTCTTTATATATTGAGTGTGTGTGCATGTTTACCACAGTGGTAGTCAGAAGACAGCTCTCAGGACGTGGGGTCAGGCACTATGACTTCAGGTGGTTAGGCCTGTGCAGCCAAGTTGCCTAACATCTCATGACTCAGTGTTCTCATCTCTCACATGGAGATGAGACTGGCCCTGCTTAGGCTTGGTATAAGGATTCTAATCTCAGCTACCCTTCAGGCTGAGGTTAGAGAATTCAAGAGCTGCCTGGGCTACAGGAGACCCTAGCACAGACCCCAAAACAACGAATGACAAAATCTTCGTCGGAAATAAGAGGTAAATGGTGGATGGAACAGAACTAAGGACAAAGGACAGCAAACAGGATGCCAGTGGTACCGGTGCTTCATCTCATGGATAACCCGAGATGCTCGCTTCCTTATCAGAATCCAGCGTCCGCCCCTCTCTTCCAACCAAGGCAGTCTCTAGGCAGAACAGAAGAAACCACTTAAGTGTGGGGCGCTGAAGGAAGCGAGGCGCTACATGCCATGGGGTAGAGAAAACTGGGTTGACTCTTGCTTAGGTGTGTCTGAGAAGGGCCTTGCTTGTCCAGTTCCTACGTGGTCGGGCAGCTCACGTCGTCTCACTTCAAGTGCCCTTCAAGGCAAGGGCTGGCCTTAGCCAGGGACCACCCTCAGTTCCACAAAGAAAAGGATGTGGGAGTTAGCCTGTGGGCAGAAGGGAATCCAGCTATGTGGGAACAAGACTTTCCCACACCAGGATGGGTGGGTGAGAGGATTTAGCCTCTGGGAGCAAATAGAAGGATCCAGAAGGGAGGGGACCCTAGATACAGACACGCCAAAGAACTGAGAAAGATGGAACTTGGACAGAGTGAGCTTTCATAACAGCCTGGTGGCAGTTTGGTATTTTGTTTTTTAAAATGTTACTTGTTTCTATTTCATGTGCATCGATGTTTTCCCTGAATGTCTGTCTGTGTGAGGGCATCAGATCCTCTGGAACTGGAGTTACAGAAAGTTGTAAGGTGCCATGGGGGTGCTGGGAATTGTACCTGGGTCCTCTGGAAGAGCAGCCAATGCTCTGAGTCATCTCTCCAGCCCTTGTGGGTTTTTGTTTGTTTGGTTTTTATTTGTTTTTGAGACAGGGTCCCTTTGAGTAAGTATCTCTGGCTGTCCTGGGACAGCTCTGTAGACCAAGTCTGACTTTGAACCTACAAAGATCCTCCAGCCTCTGCTGAGTGCTAGGATTAAGGTCACCATGCCCGCTCATTACTGTTTTAAAAGAAAATAATTCGTGGGGTCCTGACAGAGTGAGGATGGTACAGAGACCAGCCAGGATCCGCGGGGCTCACCCCTCCCACCCTGTACAGAGGACAGCTCCGAACTTCTTTGTATTTGGGTGTCCTGGCCCGGAATCAGCCCGCGTCAGGAGGCAGCTTCCTGCAGGTTGTTGGAAGGGCACACGCCCAGAACTGCTCCTCTCACCCACTTAATCCAGGGCTCTTTTCTATGCAAAGACACCTTCCTCACACTGGTCTCCAGCCTGGAGGCTGTCCTGTGAACCTCCCTAGGAAACAAAAAGCGTAAAAAAACAGAACCAAAAAAATCCACCAACATACTCTCAACATAGCTAGGGTAATAGCAAGGACGGTTAGGTCACAGGCACACACACTGAATTAACCTTAGTGTGGGCAGGGTCGGGCCACGGAATCAAATGTCCACGGAGTACAGTAGGGACCCAAGGACCTTATGCCTGCCTAAGGTAATGACCGGAGTCTGCTTTTACTGTCCACTGCCTTCCTCCCCATCGCTCCATGTCAGCTCACTTCTTCCTGACATCCCGAGGGTCTCGGAGGTCACGAGATGTTGCATCCGGCCTGAGTGTGCCCATTCAGTTTTCCACTCACGAGCTGTGCCCACGCCGCAGACACACCACGGTCTCCCCGCCGTGCCCTGTGAGCACGCGGATTCCTTCACCGGTCGCTGGGCATAACCTCCTTCCGGGCTGTCACACGCTGCCCTTCCCATCCCGGACGCAGGTACACCCCCCAACCTCTGTGAGCCCTTGCCACCTCCCCGAGGGACTTTATCGCGACCAGCGACGTCGCGCAACACTGAGGCGCGCGGGTCACGGTGACCGCCAACTTTGGGTTCAATCATAAGGCTGAGGCCACAAGCTCTAGGGAGACAGGGTCAGAGTTGGGGGTACAAAGCTATGTATCCGCTCGGCTCTTGGAGAGTGGACATGGGGGTTCGGAGCTGGCTCCTCCACGCTCCAGTTGAGCCCTGGAAAAACCCCGGCGCGCGGGCAGGCCAGGGACAGCGGGAACAAAGGCGGCCGGGGCCGGATGCAGTCATGGAAAAACCCATCCGGGCGCCGGCGCGGGGGCGGCGCGCCTGGCAGCCGCAGCAACTAGCCGGGCCGTTCGGGCGGGGCCGCTCTCTGCCAGAACCACCGCGAGCTAGGGGAGGTCCCGGGAGCGGGAAAAAAATGCGGGACGGGTCACCACGCTCCGGGAGCCCGTAAGCACCGCGGGTTCGCGATCGTACACTAGTACGCGGCTAGTACACGCGGAGTGTTGCACATGGCCCCTTGGCTGGCGGGCGAGAGTGCGGCAGCCGGTCGCAGCGGCCACGTGGGGTGGGGGCGCAGGGACCCCACACTGGCGCGACGAGCCCGCACACGGGAGCGTGTGCACATGATCACCTACACGCACGTGCGCCCAAACACGCGAGCTGCCTACAACTCCCAGAGCAGAAGGAAGGAAACGGTTGGACAGAAAGGGGAGGAAATGAAATAGAGGCTCGTTAGGGCGGGGCCCCACGGCTAGACACTGGAACCTCAGAGAAGCGAGAGGCGGGGGGTTGGGGAGACTTTGAAGAAGCCACTTTTAGGCCTGCCCCCCATTTTACAGGTGCTGGCTCTGGGCCTCCTACGGCCGGACGTGCCCAGTTCCCGCCTCCGGGCTAGAGTTTCCCTCTCGTGCCGGCCGCTGCCCAGCCTAGTCTAGTTTCATAAATTTGGCTGCAGATCTGGAGAGGCGGCACCCCGACCGTTTTTTGTTTTTTTCTTTTTTTTTTTTCAATTTTCTTTTTCCCTGGAGAAAAGGAAAGTGTTGGTGCAAGATGCACCCACTGACTCTCAAACCTTTTCTAGTTTGATTTTTTTCTCCCTTAAATGAAGGAGGAACTGAGCTCAGTTGTGGGAAGTGGCACAGACTCATATCAGTTCATATATGTCCGTCCCCTTGTTTATTTGTGCTGCTGCCTGTTACGGGGTGGAGGCAAAGCCTGGTCTGAGGACGGTGCGCTGTGTAGGGGGTGGGTGAGGGAAGAAAGGGTCGCAGAACATGGCTAAAGTAGCTTAGAGCCTGCTTCTGGGAGCCGAGAAGCCCAGGCTCTCCCTGTGTGAAGCGGCTGATGCGGGTAGTGGGTAGAGAAAGGGGTGGTTCCTGAGAGGCAGAGGATAAAGAAGCAGAAACCCAGGGCTTCAAAGCATTTAATTAAAAAACACCTGGGGTGGGGGGGGGCGAGAAGGGCAGTGGTAGGCGGATCTCTGTGAGTTCGAGGCCAGCCTGTTTTATAGAGTAAGTTCCAGGACAGCCAGGGCTATTACAAAAAGAAACCTTTGTCTCAAACCAAAACAAAAACTGAGGTAGTGGCAGAAGTCTGTTATCCTAGACCTCGGGATAGGGGGAGATCAAGGAATTCAAAGCCAACCTCTCCTACAGAAATTGAGCCAAACTTAAGGTTGTAGGAGACCCTGTCTCAAAAAACCCAGCAAACCCAATCCCCTTCAAACTAAACAAATAACAAAGAAAAGGCAGTTGTTCTGAGGTCTGGCTGGGAGAGTGAGTACAGCGGAAAGACTATTCTGGTCGTGGTTCAATGCCGCCGAAGTAGGCAGGTGCCTACCCGACCCCACCGGATCCAACGAGTTGGTATTTACGTGTGCTTTTTGAAACTGACCTTGGAATCAGATGACTTAGCGTTGCCATTCTCAAGCTTTCTGGTGTCACCTAGTATTGTCCAGCCTCAAATTACTCATCAGTAAAATGGGTCCAAGGTTTATGGTACTGAAAGTGGTTGTCAGTCTCCCTTCGGTCCTGCTTTACCTCTCTCAGTGGGGAAGTCACCAATTCTCACTTCCATAGCTCCTCCTTGGCTACTTCTCAAAATCCCAGGGGCATTCTCCTAAATTCTGGTTTCTTGTGAGCGGCATGGGAGTGTGTGTGTTTGGCAGGGATTGTGGTGTGGCCAATGGCAGGCAAGGCTGGGGGAGTAGCGCCCCCTGCTGGACAGTTACAGTAGGGCCTATATGGTCCCCTAAGGCAGGTCAAGGCTAACCTGCTCAGCGTCTGAGGCACCATTGGCTTTTGTCCCTGGTGTCTTGTTTTCCTCTTAAGCGGACCACCGAAAGAAGGCCGGTTCCCCACAGCAGCGTCTCCTCAGCCATTCAGTTTCTCAGCTTGTTCCAACTTCAACAGGCCCCCTTTGCCGTGGAGGAATGATCTAACTTGCTATTTATAATGGACTTTACAGTTTACAAAGATTGCTGCTTCTGGGCGGGTCATTAGGAAGGGATCATTTTGCCTTGCTCAGGGGTGGTTTGGATTTTACCGCCTCCATCCAGCTGTGTATCCAAGGCAACGTTCAAAACATTGAATAACCAGTAGGCTAGGCATCAGCCAATCAGAACAGAGTTTGCCGTTCTGCTAGACAGAGACGCCCAAATCTCTGTGTACCTGCTCAAAGTTCTGGACCAGCGTCAGCCTTATTGATTCTGGCTTCCCTGCCTTCTATATGGGGATTTAGATGGTAACAGTATCACTTTCTAGGGCTTTTGAAGCCTAAATTAGTTAGGCATGTAATGGCTTGCTGAAGTGTCAGGCGAATCAAAAGCACCCAGTAGGGTTTAGCCTAAAAGATTCTCCTTTCTGTGTGTGGTGAGTCACCTAGGAGTCACACTCAGGGTGATTGCCACTCTTAAGGGAGAGTTGCCAGCTGATTCCACTGTGTGTGCCCGAGACCCACCCCTTGCTTCCCCACCCCTGCTCCGGGCTGAGCAACATCACCATGTCGCTCCCAACACCTCTGTGGTTGAGCTCTTCTTCATGGTTCTGCTCCTGGCCCTTCTCCTGCCTTGCTGTCCCTGAACCCCTTCACTAACTACCCACTTCCCACAGCCCATCTCCCCCAGATCCATCCCTTAGCCCAGAGGGCCCAGAGCGATCTGGATTCTTGTATCCCTTGGTTCTAAAAACAGCTGCCCTCCTCTGCTTGCCCGGATACAATAGTTTCCCATCTGCCTGCGGCTTCTGGCCATCTGCCCATTCCCAGCGCTGCTGCAGTGTTCCAACATTACAGCCTGCAGGACGGTCAGCCTTGCAGGGAAGCCTTCGGCTCGGCTCCCCCTGTAATAGCCCTCCACTAAGTGAGTGCTAGCTCATTCATTCCTCCCAAGATCCTCTGGTACCTCTGTCATTATCCCCACTTTGAGGAGGACAGGAAAGGGAAGCCTCAAGGACTAAATAACTCGATCAGAGTCATTGTCCTGGTTCGGCTGTCGGGACAATCCCTGGGAGACCCTTCTCTGGTGTTTCTGGGGGTCTTTACCTGCTGTTTTCAATGGCTCCAAGAACTCTGCCTCAGCCGTTTGGTCTTCCCCCTTTATACCTGCCTCTTCCTCCTTGCCTTCTCCTTCCCAGCCTTGATTTAGCTTGGGACATTTCTTCTATTTCCAATAAAAACCTTCCTCCCGCCTAGCTCAAGGACTGCCTGACTTCCGGCCCTGTTCCCACGCCTTGTGGCCTAGTGGTTACTTTCCCGGAGCTCTTGTTCTATTTTCCCCTCTAGACCCTACAGCTGCTGCTTTGAGACAGAGTCCCACTGTGTAGTCCTGGCTGGCCGGGAACTCACCTGGTTGAACAGACTGACCTTGAACTCACAGAGATCCGTCTGCCTCTGCCTCCTGAGTGCTGCTGGGATTTAAAGCCAGTGTCACCATACCTGAACTTCAACTTCACTTTTGAGCCAGTGTCTCTCTTGTTTCTGTTCTTGTACTTTTGATGGGAGCTTCTCGCTGATACAAGATACAGGAGATACTGCATCCACCTCCTATCTCCCAGTAGGAGTGCTGGAATTACAGATTAGCCACTTTGTCCCGTTTTATTTCCTGGGTTCTGGAGATTGCATTAGGCTGGTAAATTTCGACTCATCTCCCCGCTCCCTCTCTTTGTATGTGTGTGGGTTTTTTGTCTGCATGTGTATGTCTTTGTACCACATGGGTACCTGATACCCACAGAGGGCATCAGATTCCATGGAACAAACTGGAGTCACAGATGGTTGAGAACCGTCATACTGTAAATCGATCTAGAGCCCTCTGGAAAAGCATCCAGTGCTCTTAACTGCTGACCCATATCTCCAACTCTTTACTTTTGAGACAGAGTCTCATTATGAAGCTGGTCTGGAACTTGCTCTGTAGACTTGGCTGGCTTTGAACTCACAGAGATCTACCTGCCTCTGCCTCTGGAGTGCAGGGATTAAAGACAAGGTGTGTGTCACTATGCCCAACTCAACCCTGCTTTTCCCTTTTTTTCTTTCTGGTGCTGGATCAAATCGAATCCGGAGCCGCCTTCCCATGTATGCCAGGCAGGTTTTCTACCAGAGCTGTATCTTCAGTTCCGGAAGTGCTTCTGAAACCTTACCAAGCATGGGAGATTCTTGGGAATCTGAATAATTTAGATAATTCTGACCCAGCGATCTGGGTGCAGAATGAGAGTCTGTGTTCCCACCAATCTCCCCAGAAGTGTTGATGGCTGGTGTGGAGGCCACACGTTGAGAAACAAGGCTCTCTGCCTCATCCAGTGCTATCATCTCAGGGGCAGAGGATGTGGCTCAATTGGTAGAGCGTTTGCCTAGCCAGGAAGCCATAGATTTCACTTTCAAGCATTGCATAAATTAGGTCTGGGTCTCTTGTGATCCCAGCACTCAGAAGGTGGAGGCAGGAGGATTTGGAGGCTAGCCTGAACTATGAGAA